GTGACCTGAGCCAACTAAGCGAACAGAAGATGCCCCATCCATCCCAGAAATGAGCTGTGCTTCCTGGTGTCTGTGGACATGACGAAAAACCAGACCAAGCATGTCCCTGCTCACTGGACTTGACATGAATTGAATTGATAAGACAACGAAGCTGTTTCTTATACCAAGAGGTGGGATGGGAAGTACTATTTTCCACCCTAATAACATCCTCACTGATAAGGATCCTGGCAGCCAAAGCCTGCGCCCACCCAATCGTGAGTGACATTGGTGTGAGTATCCATGCTAGCTCTGCATCTTTTTGGTTTTGGATGTAATTTTGGAAGGCAGGTGTGCTCTGGATCTAAAGGTAAAGGGGAGCTCAGCGCAGTGGAAGGACTGGCAACAAGCCTTTGCTATCAACGGCAGTTTAGCTTTAGAAGGAAAACTCTCTGGGAGGAGGTCAATGCCATCCCGCAGCTGACATGTAAGGGGAGCCTTTTGGTTTCCAGCAGTGGAGCCTCGGGTTGTGGGGTTGGACTGTCACTACACACGCCCGCAGTCAGGGCATCTCTGTGCTCTGGAGAAAAGAGGGGGAGAGGGGCAATGTCCTTACCTTGGTCAGGGGCCTCCCACACACCCGGTCTGACCCTTGCGAGCTCAGCCTGTCGAGCCTGGCTGTGGCACAGAGCTCTGAACCATTCTGCAGGCCTGTGGCTGAGCCAAGGGGCAGCTGAAGGGTTGCCATGGGCACAGAGGTCAACACAAGACATGGAACCTCTGCCCACAGCTGTGTCCAGGGCAAACTCTGGCCTGGCTGTCGGAAGGGATCCTGCGGCCTTGTCTTGGCCTTGGCATGTGCCACCGAATTGGTGACCCCAGGAGTCCTCTGTTGACATGACCTGCGGTTTGCAGGGGTGCAGGGCTTGCCAGATCACTCCAAGCCCTGCTCCTGTGACACGTGAATGGCTCACGACTTACAGTCCCCCCTTTCTCCTTCTCCCACACAAGTAGGTCCCCTCCTTTGCTTGCCAGACCCTTGCAGCCCTTCCTTCTTCTTTCCACTCCCTGTACAGCCACGGCTTTGCCTGGGCCCTGCTGCCACATCCTTCATGGCTCTGAGCCCGGGGGCTGAACGCCACCAAACTGGGGGGCAGGAGGCAAAAGAAGAGGTTGGGGCTGGGTTTGAACAAGGTTATGGCTCTGCTAGCTGCCAGACAGCTCACCGTTCCAGATGGACAGGGGCTGTCCATGTTTGCCTCTCAACAGCAGCACAGAGCAGTCATCCAACAGGCACTCTTCTTGCTGCCCATAAAACCACCCTGAGTGCTCACATATTCCATAACCCGTCTCCTTTCTGGATGCTGGTTTTTGTCTGCCCTGACACCCGAGCGACCTTGTATTCCTGAGCAGGCACTGAAATGCAGCTTCTGGGATCAGGCTGTAACAGGCCCTTTGGTCAGTATGGTACACACCACAGTGTGTGATATTTAGAACCTTTTGTTTTAAAGGAAGAGTGAGACAACAATTTGTATACTGCTCGGTAGATTTTACAGTCTTGGATTTAGATGTATGGTTGGGTTATTCCTAGTCGTTTACTGGATATAATGATTTTATTTTTTTTAATATAGGTGCCTATGCTTTTATAAACACAGTATTGGGGACTGATCTTCCAAAAATTGCGTTGATATGCATAGCCTGTTACTCATCAGAAAGTCTGTTTCTGTGGGTATATTGTGTGAATGCTTAACTCCAGAGTCATGATACTGTTCAAGACAAATCAGTGTTCAATTAGTGATCAGAAGATCAAAAATTCATCCCAGAAGACAAATGGACAAGTTGAAAAAGCCACCACCACCCTCCTCACCTTTCCCAGTGATCCCATTTCCCTGATCTGCTTTCTGAGACACTTTTTCAGTGTTTTGCTGATATTTTTTGCTCTGCCTACTCCATCTTTACATCTATCACCGATTACTTTCTCCTTGCCTGCCTACTCAGAGCAGAGCCTGAAAGTGCAAAGCCTTTGGATGAATTTGGGATCTTCCTCCTTGCACAGGGTTGCATGTCATCTTCAATAACGCAGTGCAAGAAAACAGTTGGATGTGGATGAGGAAAAGATGTTTTAATTGCTTGATGTGGTTAGTGAAGATTTTTTTTCCTCTGTTTTTTTAGACCCTGCATGCATCAGCTGTGCTTAATATAACATTGCGTGTTTCACACGGACAGGCTGGATGTACAGTCAGCTGCACAGCACAGGAATAAATTGAGCGTGCTTGAAAATGCAGAGCGTGTTTCAGAGCAGCGCAGCACAGCCGCCCGGACACAGCCAGCCTGTCCACCGCCGCCGAGCTGCTGCAGGACCCTGCCGCGCCTCCTCTCCCTGCCTCGCACCTCGCTGCTGATTCTGCATCGTCGGGAAGCGGGTCAGCGTGTGAGTCACCAGCACGGCTCCCAAAGCAGCTGGCCTTATTTCACGGCTTTTGCGTGCAGGTAGCATCTGGGAGCTGAAAACACGACTCAGGTGAAGTTGGACGCGTAACTGAAGCAGTTTGAGGCTGGTAACCACTGGGTTTGTTTCAGTGGGGCGTGTTAAAAAAGGAATTTTGCATGGCACCGTCCTGTCAAAAGAACAGTCAGAGACATCCGTAGTGTGACCCAGAGGTGGGTGTCGTGGGTTCTGCTCTCCCTTAGCTGCCTTCCCTCATCGCCTTCTTCGTAGCTTTGCCTAGCAGATGAGTCCTGGTGTCTCAAACAGCTCCTGTTTGCCTTTCCCAACCAATGTCAGGTGGATCTGTCCCCCTGGAGATATCCTGCCATCATCAGCTGTTTGCAGGGTATTTGGGCTGCTGTCTCGGGCAGAGTGGCAGGATGCATTGACAGTACAACCAGCTAAATTACATGTTAGAATTATCTGTAATAGGATAATACATGTGGAGCCTATTAACCAGATGGAAAAGAAGATTATGGGCTAATTTTCTTCCTTAATTTCCCTTCTTGCCATGCAGAAGTACATGCCATTTAAAAATAGCCAGCTGCACGAATTAAGCTCAGTTGAAGAGTAACCAGATGAAATTTCCTGACCAGTATGAGGAGTATTAGAAGTCGAGTACAAGAATGAAATGACCTTCCTAAGCCCTTAAAATATACAGACTTGCTAACACGGTTCTCACCGTATTTCTCCTGGTGAGCCAAAGCTGCTGTCAGTGGCTTTTCAGACCTGAGACAATGAGTTATGCAAATAGGTAAACCCAAAAGTAGTTACAGGGCTGTAGCATTCAAGTGGTACTTTTATCTGTTGCATTTTGCCTAGGAGTCAGCCCAACCCCTGTTTACTGGAGAACAGAGTGTTCTGTGCAAACATAGAATCATTTAGGTTGGAAAAGACCCTTAAGATCATCGAGTCCAACCCTTAACCCAATACTACAAAGTCCACCACAAAGCCATGTCCCTAGGAACCATGTTTACATGTCTTTTAAATAACCTCCAGGGATGGTAGAATAGAAGAGGTTCCAAACACAGGTGTAAGTAATCCTGTGTTTTGTGATTTATTCTTCACTGGAAAAATCAAAAGTCATTCAGCACACTGCCCACAAGATCCAGGTGAAAATACAAGTGCAATAATAGGGACTTTAATTACCCTGACAGTAGGATTGCTCTGGTTGATCAGCAATTTTCTTTTTTTTTTTTAGTGAGTAAAAGCATCTTTTTACTATCATTATTATCATTTAGATAGTAAATGCTATCACAGAATCACAGAA